CTATATTCTCTCACTATACACACTTTTTCCTCATCCGCCATCTACCTAAATTAACCCTTTTTAAATAATAATAATAATTAATTTGATACAATTCATTACTCCTTTTTGACAATAGAAACCAACTTCACACATAAATATGTGATAGGTATAGAAGCTATGCCTTAATCTCAAATAAATTAAATATGGTTTACATCGCTACATTTAATATAAAATTACGTCTTAATCCCAAACATATTAGAAATCGTCCACATCGCTATATTTAAGTGTGTTGCGATTAGTATAAGAATAAGAAGTTGTTTATATTTTTTACTGTAAATCTCTAATCAATCTAAAAAAGGGGGGAAAATAAAAATAAAAAACTATAAGAAGAACACATTCTCTCCATGTTCAATGTCGGAGTCACTTACAATAAAGTCCAAATATTTCCCCAAACAATATATTATTTCCATTTATATAAACACAGCTGTTTTTTTTTTATTTTTTGCAGAACCCAAGATCTCACGACCTATTAATCCAGCTACTTAAAAATTACTTCGTGGTGCCAGTGGTAGAACGTCATTAATCCAGCTACTTTTTCTTTCACTTAACTAATCCCCATGTGAACTTCTAATCCAATTTATACGACATAAAATTTGTGATCGTGATATATAAAAATAGGTTATGATTAAAAAGAAAAGTAAATCATACCGAGTAGAGTGTTTTACTAAATATTGTACTACTCTACTTATATAATAATAATAGTAATACTCATCTCATTTCTCTTACCTTCTTCTTCTTGGCCCTTGTTGGTCCCATCATTTCCCTCACAATCATTGATGCAATGCTAGCACACAAATTACAAACAAAAGAGAGAGTGTAAGCAAAGGGGAAAAAAAGTAGTAATGAATTTATTAACCATTTTCATACTCTTCTTCTTCTACTGTTACGGTGTTGTTGATAACGGGGTGGTTGCTGCAAAAGTTGATTTGAATGATGAGGTGTCTATACTACTTTCTATTAAAGAAAGTCTCGTTGATCCATTGGATCATCTTCGTGATTGGACAGTGCCCAATCATGCAGCTCCCTGCAGCTGGACGGGAGTTGAATGCAACTCCCGCGGAGAAGTCGAGAAGCTTGATCTGTCCCATAGGAATCTCACTGGAACAGTTTCTAATGATATCCAAAAGCTGAAGAGCTTGACTGATCTCAATCTATGCTGCAATGAGTTTTCATCGCCATTGCCAAAAAGTTTCTCAAATCTAACTGCGTTGAAAAGCATTGATGTGAGCCAGAACTATTTTGTCAATGACTTCTCTGTAGGTCTTGGAATGTCAGAAGCGCTTGTGTATTTGAATGCTTCGAGTAATAATTTCTCCGGTTATCTTCCTGAGGATATCGGAAATGCTACATTACTCGAGACATTGGATTTTAGAGGGAATTTCTTCCAAGGTTCAATACCTAAATCTTATGGGAATTTGGGGAAATTGAAGTTTTTAGGTCTTTCAGGGAACAATTTGACCGGAAAAATTCCAGGTGAGCTGGGGCAGCTTTCGTCGCTTGAGACTGTAGTACTGGGATACAATGTGTTTGAAGGTGGAATTCCAGCCGAATTTGGAAATTTGACAAATCTCAAGTATCTTGATCTTGCTATTGCAAATCTTGGAGGTTCAATTCCTTCTGAGCTAGGAAAGTTGAAGCTGCTCGATACGATTTTTTTATACAAGAACAAGCTTGAAGGCAAGATTCCGCCAGAGATGGGTAACATGACTTCATTGCAGCTGCTTGATCTGTCTGATAACATGCTTACGGGTGAAATCCCAGCTGAGATTGCTGAACTTAAGAATTTGCAGCTTTTGAATATGATGTCAAACAAATTATCAGGTTCGGTTCCCTCTGGGATCGGAGGTTTGACTCAGCTGGAAGTAGTTGAGCTATGGAATAACAGCTTATCAGGTCCTTTGCCAAGTGATCTTGGAAGAAACTCGCCATTGCAATGGGTGGATATTTCATCCAACTCATTTACCGGTCCAATTCCAGCAGGATTATGCGCCAAAGGTAACCTCACTAAGCTTATCATGTTTAACAATGCTTTCTCTGGTCCAATTCCAACTGGTTTATCAACCTGCACGTCCCTCGTTCGTGTAAGAATGCAGAACAATCTTCTTTCGGGGACGATTCCGGCAGGTTTTGGTAAACTTGGGAAACTACAGAGGCTGGAATTGGCAAATAATAGTCTGACAGGACAAATCCCAAGTGATCTTGCTGCTTCTACCTCTCTTTCTTTTATTGATTTCTCTAGAAACCACATTCAGTCTTCTATTCCTTCATTCATTCTTGCGATTCCAACTCTTCAAAAGTTCATTGCCTCAGACAATAAGATGATAGGCGAAATCCCGGATCAATTCCAGGATTGTCCTTCTCTTACTGTTTTGGATCTATCCACAAACCATTTCACTGGAGATCTTCCAGCTAGCATTGCTTCATGTGAGAAGTTAGTAACTTTGAACCTTCGAAACAATCAATTAAATGGTCCAATTCCAAGAGCGATTTCCATGATGCCCACATTAGCTATTCTAGATCTATCTAACAATTCTTTAACTGGTGGGATACCTGAGAACTTTGGCAATTCACCAGCACTAGAAATGCTGAATGTTTCTCATAACAAACTGGAAGGTCCTGTTCCAGAAAATGGCATGTTGAGAACAATCAATCCGGATGACCTGATTGGAAATGCCGGTCTATGTGGTGGAGTGCTTCCTCCATGTTCTCATAATGCAGCTTACACATCAAAGCAGAAGAGCTTGCACACGAAGCACATCATTACAGGATGGCTTACTGGTGTGGCAGCTCTTCTGCTTTTTGTGACAGCAGGTCTTGTAGCCAGATCTCTATACAAGAGATGGCATGAAAATGGGAGCTGCTTTGGACCAAGCTTTGAGATGAGCAGTGGTGAATGGCCATGGAGGTTGATGGCATTCCAGAGGCTAGGATTCACTAGTAATGACATCTTGGCTTGCCTTAAAGAGTCAAATGTCATTGGAATGGGAGCAACAGGGGTTGTATACAAAGCTGAAATGCAACGCGAGAATATGGTTGTTGCAGTAAAAAAGCTGTGGAAATCTGGAACTGATATTGAGATGGGGGATAGTGATGATCTCGTAGGTGAGGTGAACGTTCTTGGAAAATTAAGGCATCGAAATATTGTCAGGCTTCTGGGATTCCTTCACAACAAACGTGATGCAATGATAATATACGAGTATATGCAAAATGGTAGCCTTGGAGAGGTTTTACATGGTAAACAAGCAGCAGGGAGACTGCTTGTCGATTGGGTCACTCGATATAACATAGCCCTTGGAGTGGCACAAGGCCTTGCTTATCTCCATCATTACTGCCATCCACCAGTTATTCACCGGGATGTCAAGTCAAATAACATACTTCTTGATGCAAATCTAGAGGCAAGAATTGCAGATTTTGGTTTGGCAAGAATGATGCTCAAGAAGAATGAAACAGTTTCCATGGTTGCTGGATCTTATGGATACATAGCCCCTGGTAAGTCCTTCAGAATTTTCATCAATGTTTACTCTGCACTGATCTTTGTTAACAATCATTTATCTGGATTTTGACTTTGCAGAGTACGGGTACACGTTGAAAGTGGATGAGAAGAGTGATATTTACAGCTTTGGAGTTGTGCTCATGGAGCTCCTGACGGGTAAACGTCCTCTAGATCCTCTATTCGGGGAATCTGTTGACATTGTAGAGTGGTTTCGGATGAAGATCCGAGACAATAAGTCTTTAGAAGAAGCACTTGACCCGAATGTAGGAGCAACACAACATGTTCAAGAAGAAATGTTGTTAGTTTTAAGGATAGCAATTCTATGTACAGCCAAACTCCCCAAGGACAGACCATCCATGAGGGATGTTTTGACAATGCTCGAAGAGGCAAAGCCTCGGAGAAAAAGCAGTAGCAACAGTGGAGGTAGCCATGCTGCTACTACTAACAAAGATAAGCCAATATTCAGTACATCACCTGTAAATGGTCTTCTGTAAGAAGAGAAGTCATTTCCCTTTCCCTATTTGAGTCCATTTTATTTGTAATTGTCATGTAGTATTTAGAGGTTCATACATGGATTCTTGTATGTGTAGAATTAAGGTAGTACAGGCAGCATTCTTCCCATTACTGCTGCAAGTGATGTTTTAGTTTTTACTAATTCTTTGATCATGTAAGAAGAAATTATAGATCGAATAACAGAGTTTTCTAACACACATATTCTCTAATCAAGACTAGGAGTTGTATTGCTCACCTGAAATACCATTAGATTCAATAAAAAGAAAGCGGCTTGACCTCACTAATGAAAAACAGCAATTTAGAGCTCATTTAATCGATAATCATGGCTCAGGGAACATGCATTCATAAGGCTTCTTTTTCTTGAACCAGTGACAATATGCAACACAAGAAACCATGGCTAAGATATACTTTCTTCCCAAAACTTCTACAATCAAATAATTTTAAGTTCTGTAGACAACGTATCTTGCTCAAAGAAATAGTTGCAGAATAGAGAAGACAAGAAATTGAAATACAAACATCAAAGTAATGAAAGATTTTATCAAAACCAACAAAAAAAGGTTCCCAGTATGAACCTAGCAAACTTTCCTTTCAACAACATTAGTGTTCATCTGTTTCAGGGAGCGGCAAGCTCATCATTGTAATATAGTATAAGTGGATACATCCATGCTACACAAGGGTGAAATGAAACTTATGCTGAAGATTGCGTGGTGAATGACATATACAGGCATCTTCTGTGATCCAGTAAAAGTGATCTCCTCCCAGAGAGTGGGGTAGACCGTGAAGTAAAAAAAGCAAGAAAAGTGACCCAAAAAAAAACACCAAAAAACCAATAAGGTCATATAGGACCAATTTGTTAACTCAGAAAATTATTTTACCATCCACTAAAATTTCCTTTTAGACTTCATCCTTCAAATGAAGGTCTCTTTATCTTTTGAAAGTAGATTCTTTGTCTGACCTATATAGGCTTAGTCCCCGGTCTTCCACCATTTCTTCCCATGAAAGTTGGAGCTGAAATTTCAAAAAAAAAATTGGTCAGCATGAAGTTAAGTCAGTTTTTATCTGTATGAGGTGCATGTGCATCATATATATGACTCAACACCTACATGTACCGAGTCCATTGGCATCAGATGTCCTCATGACTCGTAGTCTCTTGACCGAGCTAATAAACATCCTGAAACAACCAAGGAAACAAGTAAGACAACCATATTGATAAACATGGTTATATTTCGTCAGTTTCCATACAGCAGAATGTATGTTTTACAAATAAGCCAGAAAGCACAGAGGAAACAGAAATACTAATATCTAGGAAGCCTAAGTTGAAACCGCATCCAACCATCCCAGACCATTTTATTAGAACATAATAAGTATTTAAACGAGCAAAAATAAGTATAAAATAGGAGACATATAGATAAGAATAAAAAATCCCCAACTCATGCTGGAAATAATCCCCTTGTTATATATTGAGCACTGTGAGAAAACAAAGGTTCAGACATAAAGTACGATGTATCTGTTGATTTTTTGCAACACATTTTATAAAAGCGTATTTTAGTTGTCATTGTGCAGGAGGAGGAGCAAGGTAACAGATGCAGGACATACTCCCAAGGAACATCTCCAACAAGCATCCAGTCTCCATCTTTGTCTTCATAAGTCAGCACAAATTCAGATGATCCATCTAATAATCTTGAAGAAGACGTTGTTTCTGACATGACACCTAGCTCCTGTACATTTGATGCTGGCAGCAGACAAATTGCTAAAGTCAGGAACAATGCAAAATGAACCTCAAATACTAGAGTAGAACTCAAAAGAAATGTTAAAACAGAATTGAGCAAGAATGGCATATACGTCAGTTCCTCTCAGGTGTCGGGCTCAGAACATATGGGACAGCAAACATTTCCAACCATTTCTTTTATCACAACCATGAACATTGTATCGTGCAATACTCAGTGTAAAATTCATTCAGCATGTAACACAACTAAAACAATTGAGTTCATTATCCTTTGTTTATGGGATCTCAGGGGACATATCCATGGTAACAAGTTTGTCATTCCAGGATTAATGTACTAGGGAGAAGAACTACTCACATCTTGCACAAACAGTCGTGCTGGGTCTTAAGAACATGTTGTCTAGAGTCTGTGCCAAGTTCTCATAGCTATTATGTGCATTCAGATCTACCTTCCTTCCAATTGTAACTCCATCCATATTGACCTTCACAAATAGAGAAGCCTTGACGAGCCCTTTTTCCTTTGCAAAGTTGTTGATCTTGCTGCTCCCAGCATTAGCGATAGTATTTTTACTTTTGCATTTCTCGTTTGTCACAGAAAATTCTTCTGGGGGTGGTAGTTTTGTCTGGTTAACCAGGGTGTTCATCCTATAAGTTCTTATAGGAGGCCATCCAACAACCTGACTGCATTGTTGGATGTCAAGCAAAAGTTAAGTAACAAATAAAAGGAAAAAGTCAAAAAGAAAGAGAAGTATATATCTCAAGTATGTTTTTAGTAGCTTATTATAGTCTACTCACTACATAAATGCATTACCTACATTTATTAGGAAGAAAAAAACAAGATATATTTTCCTTTGATGTAGCGGACATTTCAAATATGATGATGATACATGAAATAACAGTGATGGCATAGTTTAGTCATAAGTGGTAGGACAACATCAGTTTCAGCCTTTGAGCGGGTGCCAAGTAGCAGAACAATCAAAAGAACCATACATGAAAATAATGTCAGATTTGAGATGGCCTATGGATGCACATATTAAAACTAAAGACTGAGGGATCACGCCTAAGTGTAAGTGACCAGACACACATCCTAAATCCTAAGCCCCACAATCTATACCAGTCATTTTTCTTACACCAGACACATTATTTATCGAGTTTAACATGGAAGAGATACAAATTTGTCATTTAAAGGAACAATATTCATATGAACATATTATAAATAATGTAGAATGTCTTCATTTTTGAATCGAAGGAAGATAAATTGGAATCTTGAAGTAGCATTTTACATTTGCACAAGACAGCCCTTTGTCTGAAGTTAATATGAAATCACATGGTCAATTAAAAGATGTATACTTGTCATACTTGTACAAGTAATAATGATCTGGAACAATACCACATTAGATTCCAAACATATAAGCCATAACAAATACTACTCCACATAGAGTTTGTACATTTTAGCTACAATAAGATTCCCGAAAAAGGAATCAAAAGGAATCTGTTATCTCCAACCCAACAAATTAGAATTGAAACACTTCAAGGAATAACATAACCAAAAGAACGACACCAAAATTATATAATCACTCTTCAACAAATAACTAGCCATAAACCTATCATTGGTTCCATAAAACTATAACTTATTGAGTCTGACCATACAGAATGTTACACAGATGCATTTTTTTTAATAAGAAGGTAATTTATGGATAAACTAGCACAACGAGTGTGCTATAACAACTATATGCAGAGATGCCCATTTTGGCAGGAAATTAATGTCACAATCCTCCCAAGGAAGTTCTATACGTAATTGCAGTCTCTGGCAATCATCATGCTAGGTTAAAACTAGCTCAACATCCAAAGAGCATCCTCTCTTTTCTATGGGTAATTGAGTTAGTTTTCTAGTTCCAAATGCTCTTGAGTGATAAGCTGAGTAAAGGATAACTCTTTTTCATTTTCTCTTTTATACTGGGCACAGACGATTGTTCTGCCAAAGAATCAATTCATGTTGGCTTGAGTCCTTGACAAAGATTAAAATCATCCATAATACTTCCAAGCGAAGGAGCCACCTTACTTTGATGTAAACCTATTTCTCTCTAAAATTTATCATTCTGGAGATGGAAAACTGTCACAAGAGTGCATCCTATCCTAGTGTCTAAAATACTATAACAGACTCAGTATGCAATAAAAGGTTGAGAAAAAAGTTGGCTCTAAAATGACTTATCATATGAAGAACATTATCTCCATTTCTCCACATCAATAGCAATGGGAGCCAATTTTAATAATTAACAACTTAAGAGAAGAGCATGAATTGTTGTTAGTTGGCACTGCATGTGCCAAATCCATAAAGGGATCATGGATTTTTCTTACTGCATTGAAGTTATGTCTTGGGAGTTGGGACTATTGACCATAGTATCCTCATCTTTAATATTCCATAGGTGCTTCTTAAAGAAATGTCGGAGACAGTTGGGCAAGTAGGAGAATGAAACCACTGGCTGCTAAACGAAAATACAAGTGAAAACCTTCCTAACATATATTTTTTAAGTTTTTACTAAATGTCAAAAATTCCCTCTAGCTTCATTTGTTCTTTCGGGTTTTCCTCCTTTTATGTTTGTTAAAATGGAACTTCAACAGATTAGATAGTTGGCTTGATTTTTTTAGGAACCCTACCGCATACTTGTACAAACTACATTTGTCATCACCCGCTTGGTTTCGTATGCTTATGGAATTCTCAAAAAAGTACATCTAAATACTGCTCTTGCAAAATAGGATGCTCGGAATTGTGTTGTATTTTCTGAAGAGACCAGACAGTTTCTATCAAGTAGTAAAAAGTACATCCATCACTCATTCACCATTTAATGGAAATGAGAAGGAAAACCGAATCTACGAGAAGAACCTCTGTCCTGCAAATCTTCCAATATTCAGGTCAGCAGCTTGCCATTGTTTGTATGAAAAAAAATAAAAACAAGCTGAAATCCAGTTACTTTCCATTTCTACTAACCATACTGCTGCCTTTTGGTTTCTAAGCATTTTTACGAAGTAGTTTTCAACTAGAAATATCTTGCATCGTCAAAAATTCTATTAGTTAAGATCAATTTAAATTGATATAATCATCAATCAACATGACACCCATTGCATTGTCAAAACCATTTCCAATAAAAAACAGATAGTCTTATTTGTGAGTGCATCCCATGACATAACAAAAAAATAATTTGACGTATAAGCCCCACTCTTTCTCCTCGAACAATGTTTGCGTTACCAGTTTCTGTCAAACATTACAAAGGATGTGTGTCCCCCAATTGGTTCAGCTTTGTGTCACATCAAACAAGATTCTTCCTTTAGACCAGTGCACAGATATATTCAGGTCGTTTAGCTTAGTACAATATGAGGACGAGATATTCGAATGGATAGAGACAAGATAAACATTTCATCATAAAAAGAAAATGCACTTCATCATAGGTATCTGATTCCAAATGCAGAGCAAAGAAGAAAGAAAGAAAAAAAGACAATCGATGCAGAGTTACATCAAAGAATCATGCTATAACAATACAGAAGAAAGACAAAATGGTGATACCTGACACTCGAACGAGGAGGAGAAATAGAATCAGCGTTTCTCTTAGTGCCACAAGAAGCATTATTCGGTTTAATAACAGAAGAAGATGAACATGAAGATGATGAATTAGAACCCAAAGAAGGGAAATCTTTTTTGGGTGTCAAGATTTTAGCATAACCACCCCTTGCACCAGTTTTAGCCTTAGGAAGGGCAACATCAGCAGAAGCCCCAAGACTCAGTCCAAGACCCAATTCAAGTTGAGTCTCATCAGGGTATGATGAAGAAGCCTCAGATGATAGCAACACCCCATTATTATCTTCCTTTGACAGAGTACAAATTGAGCCATCAACTGAAACCCCATAAGTAACTCCTCCAAAACCCATTAAACCAAGAGTACCTCTCATCAAGAAAACTTGAAGGGTTTTGAGCAAAAGAGATGGTCTTGAAGGGAAGGTAGGTAAAGGGTGTTGGAGAAGGTAAGAAAAGTGGGGTAGCTTTGTCTGCTTTGTGCGCTTCAGAAGATGAATATGATGATGATTTTTCTCCTAAACGGTCCCCGCTAATGCCATTTTGTAGCAGGCAATAACGAATCTTGTTTTTTCAACAATACCAAATTTGGTTCAGACTCATTATGAAAAAATGGAGAAAGATCAAATTTTTTGCTTCCAAATTATACAAATTTGTCAAATATAACATAGATGTGTATATAATCGGCTCTATTAGCTTAGCACTTTTTTTAAAAAAAATACAACAAGGATGATGATGTGTTGGGGTTTAATATAGCATACATATATAATCGTTCTATACATAACATGTTTATTTTTTGAGTTGGATAGATGAATATCACGATTAAGATAAGATTATAATAAAAAAATATAGAAGATGTTTGTAAAATTGAGGAACAAAAAAATTTTAATTTTCGACTTTGTAATATTGAGAGCGAAATTCGTTAATTGACATTTACGACTAAAATCAACTGAAAAAGATCGACAAACGTTTGACCGATCACCTAATTTTTCGATAGAAGGTAAAACTGATTACACTTATTCGAGATGTTTTTTTTTTTGATGTTCAATATTAAATATTAAATATTAAATATTGACCAAATCTAAATTTAGTCTGAAATGTTTCGTGTGATAAACTTTCCTTAATAAACACAATTTTATATTTCATCCATCTACTATTATTTGTCATGAATTTTATTTTAGCGTCAAACTATCAAACTTTGGCTAATACTTTATAATGTATTTTTCATCATATTGATATGCAGAAAATTGCAATTTATAGTAGTTTATCATTTAGTTTTTGAATATATAAAATTTTTTGTTTAAAATATTAAATTAATATACACTAATTTAACTTTAAAAATTAATCAAATTTATTTTCGAAAAGCGTAACATGACAAATAAAAATGAACGAAGAAATATTCAATAAAATTAAAATTCTAATTAAAGATGAAAAATTACTTACCGCTTCATCATAACGGGTAAAACTACAATACTGATGTTTATATCAATCCAATACATGCAAATTATGTGTTTAAATTTATCGTTCATTTTATTAATATTAATTAATTAATATATATTTTATTTTACGTAAATCACATAATAATAAAAATTATATTAAATTCAATATAAACAAACGATACTACAAGTAAGTTTTTAAAATGTTTATTATGAATGATTTTGAAGAATTAATGAGCATAGGGACAAAGAAAAGTGGGTATGGAGTTGCCACAAACAACCAGACAAAGGTGTGCCCACCTAATAACATAGCCCACTCCCCAACCTAAAATACAACACCATAGCCCTGCGTGGGACGCCACTAACCTAAGCTAACCAAACACAAAAACGGAGACATCGAAATTTTGTGAAACTGAATATAAATAGGTATTTGGATATATAATTTTACATCGAGATATGAAGTTTGCATTTTTAAGTTGATTTTCATTTTATTATATAAATTTTCAAATTCTTCAAAAACATGATTTGAAAATTTTTAAATACGAAATTAGTGCATAAGAAATCAAATTGCTTATTTAGCAATACTTTAATTACATCTCATGATTTCATATTATATGATTAAAATTTACGTAGTCATCCTAAACTTTAGCTTACGTCAATAAAAAAATATATATTATATTCGCATTTGAATATTTCATTAATTTTTTTACATATTTTTAAAAAAAATTAATGCATTATATATTATTTTTCTCGAAGCTAAGTATTCAATAAAAAATAATCATATTTTATTTATTATTATTATTACTTTATTACTTTTAACATTTATTATAAATTATTTTATATCTATCAATGAAAAAAAAGTATGCCTAAAGGTACCAAACCTGTGGGTAGCGTCGTATGAAATGTACTCGCAGAATTTTATTTGTGTAAAGCCAGAGAAAAATATATGTACAGATATAAATATATATATTTTCATTCTACACATTTATAATAACACAAATTTGAGTCTTATTATACAAATTATAATACATAAAATTGAAGAATTTATATAAAATTGAATGTTTATAATGAATTATACAAATCAAAAGCTTCGTAATGAAATATAAAATTTGCTATGAAGTGCAGTTATGTACTTTATAACTATAACATAGAATATGATTATTATATTTGTTATATGTGAAAATTGGTTATAGCAATATTTCCTTTGCTTTAAACACGTTCCTTTTTAATAAGAAGTATAGAAAAACATTATGAATTTTCATATACATAAGATTGCACTAATTCATCATTAATTAATTTTTATTTTAATAACGTAAACATCTTTTCCTAATAAAATAAGAATTGTTTTTCATTTCTGAATATTTTTAAAATTGAACAACCATATGCATTCGCTGTATAATTTTTGATTTTAAAGTTAAAGATATAACAATCATAGTATCATAAAATAGAAAAATTTCTTACATTACTTTTAGTCATTAAATATTTTTAAAATATCATTGCTGAAGTAACTGTTCACCCCCTCCCCCCTTCCTTTTATTTTTTCTTCTTTAAACATCAACTTTAAAATCAAGAAATATACAAATGTTTTATTTTACTTCAAGAAGAAAAAGATTAAGAAATAAAAATATTTTTTATTTATATTTAAAAATGATTATCTAAATAAAATTTAGTGTTGAGTTACATCTTTTATGTATGTCTTTATTATCAATTAAAAAAGTATATCAGGTAATCTCTATAATAATTGATAAAAGGAGATTAAGAAAACACAAGATTACTTTTCACTTCTATATTAATTTAAGTGATTTTAAAATAAAAAAAAGTAAAACAAAAATTCTTTAAAAGTAATATATTGTTCTAAAAGTAATCTATTTAAGAAGAAAAAAAAATGTTTATCACGAAAATGACATTTTTGATCCAAAAGTAATAATAGGTGCATTTTTAGACAAACATATTGACGACATAATTTTTTTGATAATTCTGTTAACAAATGATATTTCGTTAAAATTCACATAATTTAAGAATATTTTTAATTTTTTTTCGTTATTTTTTTTATAATTCAAAAATATTCAAATGGGTCATTTAAATAGATGAATATAATATAATATAGTGTTTCTTTTATATTAGATTGAGAATAGTGTAATAGAGCTACATCAATAGTGTGAATTTTTAGATAATTGATCCAAATTTAATGATCATTTGTTCTTGGTGTTGTTAATATTGAGCTAATTGAGTTGTTCAATGCGTAAAATCACATTCAAACTTAATCATCAAATATTCTGGTTGACGTGGCTTTTACTTCCATCATTACCTTTGTATTAATAATATAGAATACTTAATGTGAGGGTACCTTTCACTTTCATGACAGTAAAATGAGAAATAGGTACCTTTTTTCTAGTTGAGTATTGCAGATTGACTCATGCACATAATTAGTTTTTTTTAATAAAATTTCGTGTTCAGTCAAACATCGTACTTATAAAGAATAGGCATAGCTGATGCTGAATGAATGGTTCATAACAGAAGTGGTCCAACTAAAAACACATCAAATTACCAAACAATTTTCTTGTTACTGAGGGGACCAAATAATTCTTTTCATTCTTTACTTTTGTAACTTTTTAGGTAGTTAAATGAACTAACTAAAACACATCTTAAAGACCAAAGTAACCTCAATCTCATCTTTGTATCTTCTATGTACTTTCATTTGAAAACAAGGTTCAAATGGTGGACTTCTATTAATATATGTACACAGTATATACAAGTGCAATGAACTTAAACATTCACTAAAATAACGTATACACTAAATAATCCCTGCATGACTTTGTTTTCGAACCAAATGATCATTCTCCAAGTTTCTTACCTGTTAAGATTAGAGGGATGCACGGGCAGACTGCCAATGCCAAACATTAAACTGCTCAGATAGTAAAGGATGTTCGCATGGAGAAGAAAAGATGGCATGAATTGCAATGAAGTTTAGGATTTGGATTGAGGAATGTCCTCATTAAACTTTGCACAGCTCACAAAGGACAATCTGATGCCACAATGAAAGAGAAGCAGCACATGGTGATAGGTGCAGAACAAAATGGTGATAACAAGAATCAATTTGCTTTAAGGTGAAGGATTACCGCGTTCTTGATTCCCTATTGGTTTATGAGTAGTGTGTTCTGCTTCCCTTCTGTAGATAATCAAATAATCAACATAACTCCTGCTATGGACTATGAACTTGTTGGGATCCATAATGTAGTCCGTCCTCACAAATTGCTAGACTAAAAGCAACTACAAAGCCCAGTCCTAGAGTAATATGAATCTGTACATAATGGTACAACAAGCCAATGGCAAGTTTAAGATACCCATAGACAAAGAAATGTGCTACCATCTTTCGTCTCCAAACCAATTGTTCTTCTCCTTTGGCCCAGTAGGGCCTTCCTCCTTGAACAGTTCCATTGGCAGCTTATCAAAGATACTCTGTACTGAATTTCGAACCATTATTGGCAAGCGATGAACAATTTTCTCAAGCTCCTTTCTTGAGTCATAAATAATGGTTGGACCCCACTCTCTCATGTATTGTAACCAACATGGCTCACTAACAGCTTCATGTCCGAGATACTGTGCTGAAATAATTTCATACTTGGTACTTGAATCTACATAGAGATTACTACGTGCAACATCATTTCTAATTCCAATCCCTAGCTTTGAGGATCCTTGAATGTAAGTTCCAGGATGAGGAAAGCTAGCATGGCCACTCTTTGATGAATAAACAATAGCTTTATTCCCTGCAATGAACTCCAAATCATAAGCATCCACCCATTCACCACCACTGTGTTGAGAAAAATAGATACTCCACAACTCTCCTGTGAAATTGCTCACTCGGAGAGTGAAATGCTCCCAATCACCTACATGCTGACCGACTTTGCTTAGAGAAACATTCACTACTCCTACCTTTAGAGTAGCTGGCCCATTGAAGGGGCAAAAAATCCACATAGCAAGATCTGTGAAAGTACCACCTAAGGCTGGCTTAACATGAACATAAAGTTTTGCACTCTCTAAATTTCCAAATATGACAATATCCCTGCGGACATCGCATGGCAAATCAATCCAACATTGGCCATCGTTCGTCCCACCACCAGGTAAATTGGAACCTTCAGGCTCAATAGGCTTAGCAACTGAATCGCCTCTTGTATAGAGCATTGCGCCATTGTCAAGGAACCATTGTACAGAAGATGGAAGATAGACCTCGTTGGGATGGAAAAACAAAGTAGGACCATAGTGCCTAATGATTGCATGAATCTGATCAAGGTTTGGCATTGCTTGTAGATTCGTATCGAAGTTCTTTAGGCATGCGATGTTTAGCTCTTGCCCTGTGCTCCAATAGCTACTGCAGAAAAAGGTACCAATTGAAATACCTTTACCATGCATTCCTCTATGCCGCGGTCTTATGCTCCAAATTGCCAGTACTTCTGAAAGCACTGAGCTGGTTTTAAGTATTAAGCGGTAAGTTTCACATTCATCAGTGAGGTCAGCTCGAACACATTTGACTTCCCCTAACTCAGGTTTAACAGGCTTAGTAGTCACAATGAACCCCAGGGCTTTATAACCTTCAGGTGGTTGAGGTAACCAAAAGTAACCGGATCCATCAAAATTTTCTTCAGTTCCATCATTAGAGCTCCAGACTAACGTGTAATCAAGGGGATTCTGAAGCGCAGGCAAACAAGGATTTCCACTGCAATGATCTCCTGTCTCAGGTTTAGCCACTTCCCGAGCAACAAGCACAAACCCTCGTAGAGGCTTCTTGTTAGATTGGCAGTAGTGGCCAAGGCTGAAAAATCCATCAGGCACCCCCCTTGGCTTATAAAAGCTAACACCCTGTTTCCAATCTTGTGACAGATTACAACCCCAGACAAAGTCAAACTTGCTGATTTTATGAACCTCCAATTCCCCTAGTTTAATTGTTCCACTAGCGAATCCTGTACCTGAACATCCTAAGACAGTGGAAGAAAGCAGGAAAAAACTAGAAATTAGAGATGTTCTCTGAATTAATTTTAAATAAAGGAATTAATATAGGTTTGTATACAATCCGCTAACATGATTCTAACCTAAGTTGCACGGTCTCTTCACTTTCAATGTTGCACCCTTGTCTGTCTCCAAAAATACACTACTTTTAGAGAATCCAACACACACCCGTTGACATTTTTGAAGAGTCCGAACAACATAGATTCTAACAGTCTATTGGGGTACACTGCTGATTCGACAACCCATAAACAGACACATCATATCAAGCGACCGAGAAAACTAAAGCATGTCCAAGAACCTAGACAATCTTCTCCAAGAAAAAGAAGGAAATTGAATGAAAAACTCTTACATTTAGCCCAAAAGAGTCATTTGATCACAATGAAAACTTATAAGATGAACAAGTAACTCACTGAGACATGAAAGTATCCTAAACCATTAACCACCCAATACGAACTTATGCCAACTCTTAAGAATCATTTAGTGGATTCAAGTTGAAACTTGTGACTTCCAAGTTTCGTGATAACGGATCCAACAAATTGCCAAATCAGTAGGCAGAGTTATTTCAAGTCTTCTTCAAGTGGCAAAACACCTCTTGTCAGATAAGAATGAAAGTACAACATAGAGAACAGAAAGAGAGGAAAATTGAGGTGAAACTTAATCAGTTGAACAAGAAATTGTCAGGAAACAACCTCCTTCATTAATATATGGAAGTTAATCATGAAGAAAAACCAAGATAAATCTTGAAACCAGTATTACATAAGATTTTACTGATCAAACAAAGTATGTGGAAGTGGAACTTTCAGAAGGTATTCACAATTCAGAAATTTGTGGTAATGTCAATTTCTTGTAGAACAACATAACATCAGGAAGTTTCCATTTTACTGCTCATTGTCCCTGTGCCTATCAATCAAAAAAGCTACAGCAGCATCTTCGCAGACTAGTGTACTTCAATGACAACTCTATGTATTGAAACTTGTAGAGCCCTTGTACAAAGGGGTAAATAGAATTGAAAGCATAAAAACTAATGCAAAAGAGAAACTACCAATTAAGAATGATTCACACTCAATAACATGCTTGGAAACCACAACAAAGATTAGAAATTCTTTTCTTTACAGTGCTAAAAGAATCAGCCATGGATACCAACTCATTCATATTTTCTTTACACTCTTCTCTCTTTTTTTAAGAAGGCATAATCATTTTATCTTTCATCACTGTCAGTCAATAAACCACATTAGAAACGAGAACCTTGTTGAATACTGAACCTATTAGTCCAATCTAAGATAAAAAGACAAAGGACCCTAGCAGAATCGCGGTATTTTGGATGAAAAATATTGCAAACATGCCACTGTAAGCCCTTTAAGATGGATGTGTAATTTCCAGTTGAACTGGAAACATAGAAGTATTTCAGTTTCAATGAGACACCCTAAGTAGTAGAGGCAGAGTTCGAATATTCACGGTTTAATACATGAAAAAGTAAACACACAAAGAAGTGCCACAAAAATAATTTTAAGCATATATAAACGGTCTACTTTTCCATCAAAGAGGGTTTGGGTGAACCCCTTGACCCTTATTAGCTTCGTCCGTGCCGAGCAAAAAGTGAGACACCCTGAGCTAGAGTCGGAGCCAGGAATTTTTCACTGAAAAGTTTCGAAATATGAAAAAGTAAACACATGTAACGTATAAATAATATAACTTTCCATCTAACCCTTGTTAGCTCCGCCTCTGCTAAGCAGTTATGAATAAAAACAAATTCTTTTCAATGCAAGAGCACGATGTTGATAAAAACAAATTCTTTTCAATGCAATACAGATAAACCCCACATGTTAAATCTAATTATCCAAGTGACCCCATTTAACATTGGCAACAAAAGATGTTGATTAAGCAATTTGCATACCTTGAGGCCATTGAGGGATGGGTTCTGGGAGAAGAAAAGTATCAGGTTCTCGGGAAGAAAGATCTGAAATTTTGCTCCAACGGAAGCATTTGCATCCAAACATCTTTTTTCCTTGAAATCAATTGTGAAATTCAAAACTACAATTTAGCATCTCTACAAGAATCAAGAATACCCAATTCTTCTTCTTTCTGGGAATCAATTCTTGCGTGTTTTGGTAGAAAAATAGTGGACGATGAATGACGACGTCAACTGTTGTTTTCGACTCATATCCAACATTCGTTTATGGGTTATTAATTATGATAAAATAGGCCTATCTCGCTAGCCTCATTTAATTAGGAGTAACTAAACTTTCACCTGAATTATTATTATTGAAATATATATTAAAAAAGTATTTAAATAATTAAATGCTAAAATTTAATAATTAAAATGTCACTTAACATATACCATGCAAGATAATAGAAACAAAAGAGTTTAAAAGGTAACACTTCATATAAAGGAGTTTGACAAAGCGGAAATCTAAACATAAGTCTTAAAGTCGTCTATTATATTATAAGAAAATTGATTAAGATGTAACCCATGCATCATATACAATGTCAGAATACGAAAATGACATGAAAGCAATAAAAGACTCTTGGACATTGAATCATGAGGACTCGCCAATCTTCAAAATCCCAAAAGAAGCAACTAGCCACGAGTATGGGTGATTGTAGCGTTGGATCCTGCATTTGGAAAATAATGTAGGCTCAAGTAAGTAGTTTCATGTACTAAGTATGAGACAATATGCATAAACATAGACATGATAACATAAATAACTTAAACGAATAGTTATGATCATAATGAGACATTTAAAAGTTTTAAAGAAGTGATGACATGAAAATCATGAAAGCATGGTCAAGTATATTAACATTAAGGACATAGAAAAACTTTGAAGAGAACATAGTCATTTTTTGTTATATTAGCTTTAACCGATAACATGACCATGATAGTTACATCATGAAATCTGATCTATCTCTTAAACCGAAAGAAAGGGAAACTACTTGCCAAGGTAGAACTTGTACATATCATCATTTGCTAAAGTGCACCCACTAGTTAGGTCATTTAGAACAATCCTACGGAGCACACAGTTTGGTACTAGAGATCGCTACTAGAGACTACCCTATTTGAGCCTCCACCTCAAAGCCCTCTCGGTGCTAAGTCTAAATCCCAATGAAATGGATAAAAGTCAAATATCATTTTGACATAGAATGCAAATCATAGAATAACTCCTTAGACATAATTCAACATAGATGAGTAAATCTTTCACAATGTAAAATCATATGTGAAAATACCTTTCACAATCATGATCATCATATTCAATGAAAAATCCGTTCACAATAACATCAATACCTTTCTTTCAAAGCATCATTGGTTCATTTACAATAACTTCATGAAAACATGCATATCCTCATCATTTCATAATTCATATTTTATAGGTTCATTATATGATCATGGTTGAAAACATAAATCAGGGCTAGGTAAATGCAATTTCAAGTAAATATATACATTAAGGGGTTGTTTGGTTACTGGTTAGAGTTATGCAGATATTAACTATGCAGGGTTTAGTTATGCAGGTATTAGTTATGCAGGGTTTAATTATGCAGGTATTAGCTATGTAGGATTTAGTTATGCAAGTATTAGTTATGCAGGGTTTAGATATTACAATACATAAATTATTAAATATTGAATATTTAACTTGTTGTATATTATTAATATATATTATTTATAAAATAATAATACATGCTAATAAAATATGAAATAGATTGAATAATATATAATGCTAATATTTTATTGGCATATGTACCGTTAAAAAATATACAATCAATTTCTAATATTAAAAAAATATTTATGTTTACATAAATCAATCAAAACGGTAAGTATATAAAAATAAATGAAAACAATCTATATATAATAAGAAATAAAAACAACACATCTTGATAGGAAACAATAAAGTTTTCAATTAAAAAAAATAAAAGAAGTAAAAATAGTCTAAATATAAAAAAGAATAAAAACAACAAACTTATATATAGGAAAACAATAAAGTTTCCAATTAAAACAATAAAATAAATTAATAGGGTGAAGATGTAATTTATCACTTTAATATATGTATAACTAATACCCACATAACTTATTCCACCTTCTACCTTGCATAACTTTTTACATAGATTCACTCATAAGTTATGTTGGTATTAATTACGTAGAGCTACAAAAATTCAACCAAACATTGTACAAGTTTTGTTGACTTTTCTATCTAAACAAAATTTTCTACCAAATATAGTATAACTTAATACATTATTCTATACATGAATAAAATGTAAGTTATACCATAACCAAACGGCCCCTAATACAATATAACACATTATAAGACTTAATTAATTATAATTAATCATAATTGAATGGTCCCACATTTATTGAATTGAAACCCTAATTTGATCCATTGGAAACTTAGTTGAGAAGTTGAAAACCTTAGGGAACCCATGGAGGAAAGGACTCCATGAGTGAATACACACATACCTTATCTCTTAAGCCCAAGAAAATGGAGAATTTGGAAACTTGAATGAAATGCTAATTCTTTTTTTTTCTTCCTTAGACTTGAGAAAATTGGGAGGATGAATTTGGTCAAGTTTATGGAATTTATGAGAATGAGTTGAAATGGGAAAATTTAGAGCTTTTTAAAAACATTTATATAGGAATTAGATTAGTATGTAAAATGAGATAGTTTTAGGTTAAATCATTTAGGAAGACCCAAAAACCCTTTAAAAATAATTGTCGAACCTCACCTACAGTTTGGACCCTTCTATGGACCGTACTAGTCGATCATAGATTGGTTCATATACTATTAAATTGGACCAACTTTTGACGGAATCCATGTACGACTTGTAGATATTTCTACGGTCCATACATGCCAACAATAGAAACTAACTTTACCCTTTAAAATTTCACTATGTCTGAGACTCACCTAGGAGACCTACTTATGAATTGTACAATGACTGATAGGACCGTCTTGGTGAATGTAAAAAGGGTACAGGGACTTGATTTTAGACATGTATTTTTCTCACTTCCCACGGTTGTCATCTACGTCCTGTAGAAGGTTATACGGTTCGTAGATGAGACCCGTAAGCTAGACTTCAGTTCATAAATTTATTTTCCTTTTTTTTAAAAAAATTCAACGTGTTACAATATAAGACACAAATCTCTCCAGAGTTACCTCAGTGAATTGATCCCAAGTCAATTGAGGAAAACAAAAAGACCTACTGGTAACATTGATCTCCTCCACTCCCTAGCTACCTCTGTGAATTGAAAAGAGGTATAAGACTTTCCATATGCCTCCAAAATGTCTAGGTTGAACAATCTATTCTGATACTCAGGCAGAAACTCATAAGCCTCCTCACTAGTCAGTCCACAAAATTTGGAGGTAATATTTTGACAAATCTCTTAAAACTCTTTTGCTCTGAAGTAGACATAATAATAGTAGCATAGGTGGATCCATAAATCTTCAAGATACGACAACCAGCGGTGAATAGACAGTCAAAATCTAGCATCCAACACTCGAAGTCTGTAAGTAACCAAACTGCTGGTTGGAACTGCTGCAACCCCACTAGCCACGACTCTGAGTATGGGCGCCGAAATCTACATCGTAAAAAGATGCAACATAGAGAGAAATATGCATTAGTACGTAAAATGTACTGAGTAAGTAAGCGAAACAAGCATAATTAATCATAAAATTTAATAACAAGGATAGTAAAATAAGGTTACAAAAATCATATGCATAGTGAAAAAAACTCAAGCGAATAGTAGGAGTTCACGTCTAAAAATCATTCAGTCTTTCTTCAAAAACATATGCATAGATGAGTCTATTTCAATAGTCCTGCATGATCATAATTGTAAATAGCAAACTTAAAGTGATTCAAGTAGAGTTAAGATCATATTGTAAGTAAAATGTATAAACGAGGGAGTTTCTTGTAACAACCCAGGAAATTTTTTGACCTTAGACTCAAACCGTTCTTCGTAGTGAGTGAGATACTTACCAAGGAATTTAAAATTTTCTGAAGTGTTAAAATCACTAGATGTAGCACCTTGAGTTCCAAAAAGAACCAAATTGAAAATAGCAAAATCTGAAATTTTACGAGTTATGCTTAGGGTATGAGTTTTTGGTCAACTTCAAATGATCATAAATCTCAGTATATGATGAATTAGGTAAACCATAAGATATTAAATGAAAGTTATTTGAATTATCTTTCCAACTCCACCGAGTTTGCTAAGTCGAGGTCGAGCGAGTGAGATATACCTTTTTGAAGTCTAGCTGTCCAGTTAAGGAAAGTTAATAAAAAATAGTAAGGGGTATTATGGTCTTTTCTTTACCCGATCAGATTTAGTTTGTTTTACTAAGGTTTTAAAAAGGGTACATTCCTAAAGGAAACAATTTCATAATTCTAATATACGCCTAGTGTTTTAGTTAAGAGTTCAAGAAGGAAAAATAGGAAGGGATCAAGGCGTTCATCGAGGTTCTTGAGTTTTGTTACGGATTTTCCCATGAGTTTAATCGCTAAGATGTATGTAAGCTTTCATAGTATTGGGTTCGTTCAGCCACACACCAATCATGAGTTTCTTTTGCGAATCTATCCATAGATATTGAGCAATTTAATTTTTTGATAAGTGTTCTTGAAGTTTCCTTATCGATTAAGTTTTGATGTAAGATTCTACTGAGTCAATTTTAAACGATCATATATCTTAGAATACAAAGATTTACTTGAATTATAACCTATTAAATTAAAGGTATTTGAATGTATTTTCCAACACCACCAATTTCGTAACAATCCAATATCTGAGTAAAAAGTTTTGACTTTAGTAACCTATAAAACGTTATTATGAATTTAGCCGCCGACGGGAAAACATTAAATTTTTTTTTTATTTTACTACCTCCGAGAAAACCCCAAATGAATTTCTTGACTAATAAAAGTTTCAAAACAATCATATATCATTCTCTTCTCTCTCAAACCCTAGGGCAAAACCCTAAGAAAAATCAAAGTAGAAGACTCCATTCTAGATTCTTTCAATATTTTTCAAGATTCTTCAGGGTAAGTCTTTTTCCAAGAATTTCAATTTTTTTCAACTCAAATTCCTCCATACAATTATTAATCAGTAATGGAAATCATAATTCTTGGTCATAGAGATTTCAAGAAACTATTTCAAGAAAATCAATAAAGGTTTTCTTGATGATTTACCTTCAAGCTAGGGTTTCAAGACTTTTAATC